GCTTGCCCCAATACCAGTGGTGGACGATTTCCCATTTGGAGTAGTACCAATGTTAGCAAGAAGCCGCCACAACCGGGGCGGGAAGGAAGAGCGAAGTGGCTACTGGGCGCTGTCGGACGTGCTCGTTACTGGGAGCAGTCAGGAAGGGATGGGTTTCGGTATATATTGCACCAAAAAGAGCCTCCAGCCGGCATCATCTTGGGCGCAAACCACTGGGAACCCTTGAACTCGGGGCTGTGAAGTGGCCAAGTCCTGTTCTGGAGCCGGGTGGGCGAGGTGCGAAAGGGACCTTTTGAACCTGGGGGAATATCAATCATAATTGGTGGCATTTTGCTGCTGACAAGCCTCCCCGAAGTGCTCGTCTCTAACGGGGCATGTTTCTTAAACCGCCCCTCATTTGCTCCGTCCTGCAGGGCACGTGCAGAAGTGCCAACAGCGGGGGGGAGCAATGAGCGTGCTTAGCTGAACGGGTTGTACATGGGCAGGTTGCTAGTGTAACTCTCCAGGGAACTGCCCATGGGCGCTTCTGGGCGCCGCCGGCCCCGTCCTGAGAGCCGCGCTCCGCGGGTGATGGGAGCTCCTGGCCCGGGGCTGAGCTCCCTCCCGTCGGCCCCCCAGCAGCAGGGCTCGGCAGGAGCCCTCGCCTGGCCCTACTTACCATCCGCTCTCGAGCACTGACAAGTGTGGGTTGAAGAGCGAAAGGAGCCAACCCCCACGGCCCGCTCCGCATTTCCGAAAGTGGGGGAGGAAGAGAGGGCGATTTGGCTTAAGCTGCAATAAAACGAATCCCGACGACGTTTCGCCTCCATTAAGATCACATTAGGGAGTGGATTTGGGAGATAAGGGCCGATAAGGGGCAGAGCCTGGACTTCGGGAGACCACCCGAGCTCTTGGAGGCCGGGGAGACAAAGCTCAGTGCGCCCTGGGAAGGCTGGAGGAAGGGAGGAGAGAAATCCTGCAGCCCGGCTAAATCCGCCTGCTGCCAATGCAACCCCCTGGCTGCAAACTGCAGCTGGGAGGCCGAGCAGGGGCTAAATCCCTGTGCCCATTGCCTTGGGATGGGCTGAGGCAAGTTGCTGCCTCTGTGCCTCAGTTTCCCCATCTGTAAAAGGGAGCTGTGATCTGACCTCTCTTCTCTTCAGAGGCTGCTCAGGGGGTCGTAAAGAGGCATCCGGTGCCTCTGACAAAGCTTTAGGAAAGCGTCTTGGCGAACCCAATGCTGGTCCCGCACACCACCCTTTCTTCTGCAGGTTTTTGGGGGATGTGTTTGTGTGTGGCTGGATTTAAAAAAATAACTATGCCTACATCGTTCTGGCATGTTCTGCGTTGGCAGCAGCACGTGGACCATCTGAATGGTTTCTTTTGTTGCCTTAAGGTCCATCGGGAAATAACCATAAAAAATCCCTCATTCCTGAGACTAACAGACGTACATACCTGCCTGTCGAAATGTCACCGCGGTGCCTGAGCACCCTCCATGAAAAGTGCGGGCACAAACCTGACCCGTCCCTCCCTGCTCACAGCAATACATTTAAGCCCTTGGGCCTGACTCTTCCCTTACTTTTGCTGGTTTTTAAATGGGGAGCAACTCTACTGAAGCCAATGGAGTGACTTAGTGAAAAATTGGAATAAGCGGACTATCAGTCCCTTTTTTTTTTTAACCTGCCTTTTAAGGATGTTGCGAATTTGAACTGGATAATCTCTTGCAGAGCGGAAAGAAGATAAAGATCATCATTTAAGTGCTAACTGTTGAGAAGCCGACGTGTACACGTCCTCTCTGATAGCCTGGGCTTGTATCTTCTGCACAAACGAGCCCTTCGCCCCGATCTTCTCGGGGGCTTCATTTACAGCCAGACGCTTTTATCAATTGAATACGGGCGGCAGGATTAGTCCCACGCAGACAGCCAGCCTTTCAAAAGAGCTCGGCATGTTGGCTGCTTATCTCTGTATGAAAATCTGGCCAAAGATATAAACGTGGAACCTCTTGAGTGCTGGGGGAAAAAAATCTCGGGAGAAGAAAAATAGTTTCTTTTTGTTTTAAGATGACCTGAGCTCTCTTGAAAACACTGGCCCCGGCTAAAGACGAGAACATCTGGCTCTGGGATGTCAGATCTGTTCATCTTACTCACACCAGCACTGCTCCTGAAACCCATAGTAGTGCTCCTGTGAAGAAGGCAAAATCTTGCGTTTCCTAACCCGCTCAGACAAAACTCCCGCGGGTTGCGGGGCGAGGTCTAGAGGCTGCAATCAGCACTAGTATGACTCGGGATAGCTACCAAAACGCCGGTCTCTGCCCCATTTCCCACTAGTATTGCACAAACCTGTGTCAGAAATTAATACAAATGACCTGGTCTTTTGTGGCTGGGAATCTTGTGTGCCACCGTGAAATTTTTACATGACCTGTTCTTAAATGGAGCTAGGAAGCTCAAGGCACCTGATGGATATTTTCCCGCAAGCTGCCACATTTAGATGCGGCAGGCTTTTTAGTACAAGAAGCTGTAGATCAAATTAAGTTAACTGCTGAGCTGTGAGGCAATATTCAGATAAACTCTCATCTTAAAGTTTGATACCAGACTTCTTATCTTTGTTGTACTTTGCCTTTGCTAGGTTGAGGCTGAACATCCATTTCAATTAAAATTCCAGGCTGGCTTCAGAAGGCTGGTGTCTGCTGATAGCACTGACAGAACAGAGCTAGTTTTTGCCTTGGTTGGGCCCGATATCTCTCCACACCACAAAAATAGCCAAATTGGACTATTAGAGAAGGTTGAATAAATAAACCACCCAAATACAGGCAAGGAAATGAGGGTCTGAAACAGCAGAGAAAATAAATACACCGGCACAGAAGGAAAATAACTCTCGGTTCCACGGATGTGAACTCCTTTCTGTCATATCTAATGGCAGTAAACCTTTGTGTAGCAGTGTGTGTATCAAATTATCGGTGTGCAAGTCTATGGACATATTGGCAGGGATCAACATTACATTACGTCCATTTTTGTGAAGGTACATGTAACAGTTACTGAAACTGTATAAATAAGACAGAATACCATTTTTAAAACCAATTCATATCGGAAGATAAATTCTCCAACATGTTTTAGGTCCGATGCACTTTTTGTTCCAATACAGGAAAATAAATGCTTCTGAGTTAGGAAAGGATTTGGGGGGTTTATTTGCATCTGCCAACTCATCTTATTCTCTTATTAGTGAAATCCAAATTTTTGTATGTCCACTGCCTTTCATGTATTTTGTAATGATAATTTTTCCGTCGCTCTACAGACACTAAGTGTAGGATACCTATTTACACGCAGCGATAATAATTCATCTACTTAGTGCTTCTTTTGCAGATGGCAAAGACGACACCCATAATCAAATGAGCATATCCTAGTTCTCATCCTGTGCTAGAAGTATCCCACAGTCACAAAATAGGTTATTTTTATTTCGTCTCCGTTAGATATTGTAAACGAAATCCAGCCTCGTGCCACGTTTAACAGGAAGGGATAAGAGGTTTGGAGGCTTCATAAAACATGCTGTAGCCTGGGATAAATGGGGTTGTCTGCCCGAGTCCTAGCACAGAGCAGGGGACTTCACAAATTCTTCAGCACATCCCTGAACCAAATTCTTCAATAGCATTTTTATAGTGGGAACGAAGAGAAGTAATTTTGCCACTTCTTACAAATGCATTTACCAGATCGCATCATCGCAGGATTTTTAATCCCGTGCAGGAAGACACCTTTAAAATCTCGAAGAGCCTACACGGAAGATGCATTGTATAAATGCAGATATATGTGTGTATATTGTAGAGAACAGGCAAGGCTTGAATTTTATTTGATCCACCCGACCAAGTCCCGGGAGCTGTATCTGGAGTTGGGCCCCTAGAGAGCAAGGTGTTAATTGACTTCCTTATGCAAGCCCATGGGACCTAAGTATTTATCAGTTTATCCCATGCGAAATCAGAGCCCTGAATCCTAAACCCTCGTACGAGTCTTGTAGGAGCCAGCAAAAAAACAACAGGCGGTGGTCAAAATAACACTGAACTTTATTTGGCATGACTGTTCGCCTCTCCTGCTGGTTAATGAATTGGAATTGAAGCTATTAGTGTGGAGGAAGCGGCGATTAGCTAGAGGATCTGAGCAGAGCTCAGAGCCGGTGCGCTTCGTCCCAAAATGAGGCCACTGGAGCGGTCCAGATTGCACCGGGCGAGGAGCCTGGGCCGTGGTGCCGGCGTGCAACAGAGCCCCCCACCCGCATCTCTTACCTTGCAGGCCACACACGGGGGAGGTCAGGGTGGTGGAAGGAAACGGCTCTCATTTGCGCTCTGGAGTATCATCGTCTGAAATGAGCAGTGCGTTGAAATCGCAGGTGGAGGGGAAGCAGCGGAATCCTCTTCCAGACTTGGAAGGGGATGACAGCCCCCTTTCTGCGGGAGCCCGCAACCCCTTCCTTGCTGGGAACGAGACAGGGAGCCCGGGATCCGCAGGCACAAACCCTCCCGGAGGTGACCGGCCTCGGCCGCCCCTGTTAGTCCGCGTTTATTCTGCCCTTTAAAGTCTGGGCTGGCATAAAGCGAATAAGAAGCAGTTGGAAACCTCTCTGCAGGCCTGAGCCTCCCCACACCCGTCTTCGTCCTGAGAGCAGGGAAACGCAGCAAAGGATTAAATATAGATAAATATATGTCTATATATATGTGTGTGTGTGTAATATGTAGACACGGTTCTTTGGGTGAATCTGGTATCTTCTAGTAGACCAACTTAAATGTGCAATATGTATGCATGTGTGTAATGCAGGTGCGTGTGTGTAATATTGCATACACCCGCATTACATACATGCATACCTATTACACATAAATACATATGTGTGCGTGTGACTTGTGCCCCAAGGCCTCGTTTGCACTTGCATTCAGCCGTGCAGCGGTGCTAATGAAAAGGCAATGCCAGAGCCCCATAACGAGGTTTTCTAGCCCCAGCTGGAGGGTCCTGGAGTAGCCGGGGCTGCGGGTCTTAGGGGCCGGGGGAAGGCAGGATCGGGCCCGCAGTGAATTACGTTTAATCAAGGGAATAAACACGGCCGATGCCTTTGAAGTCCCCGGGGACGTCCAGCGAGGTGTTTCGTTTCGTTTCGTTTGTTTTGCAAAGTTTGCGCTGTGGTTTCCGCTCGCGCCGTGTCCGAGCCTGCCCAGGGCGAGCTCGGGGCGCTGGGTCACCCTGTCCTCGGCCCGGGCTGGCACGAGAAAGCAGCGTGAGCCGGCCCGGGACACCTCCAAGTGAAGTCGTTGAATGAGAAGGAAGTCCTGAACGTGCCCGACCCTGCCCGGCCCCTGCTCTGCTCCTGAATGCGGCTCTGCACGGCTCGGCGGGGCTGGCCGAGCCGGCGGCTCCGACCCAGCGGGTCCGAGCTGAGCTGCTGCGGAGGGAGCACGGCGGGCAACAGCCCACCACATCCGCAGGCTTTTCCCGCAGTGCCTGCGTGGACGGGGCATGGCACGCTTCTCACGCGGCTCCGGGCGGGGAGAAGGCGCGGGAGGGCCGCGCGGGGCATGAGCTGGGACAGGGGTAGGTTGGAGCCGTGTTGGTCTAAGGACACAGGCAGACACAACTGCAGACCAGCCCGACGAAAGGGGTTTGTACCCGAAAGCTTGCAAAGAAGCATTTTTTTCCCGACTATTTGAGCTGGTCTAATTAAATCGCAGTTACCCAAACAACTCTGCATGCAAGGGTGCTTGTCCTGCAGCCGGCGAGACCCGAGGAAGAGTGCCTGGACTGTATTGGGAAGCGTGTCTAACTTTAACCCAACTGCACAGTAAGAAACCACTTCCCCTCTCTGTGTCTCTCTCGGCCCTTTCTTCCCTTTTTTTTTTCTCTCCCAGATCTTCCCTCCCCATAAAGCACACAGCTCCAAGCCCCAGCCCCGTCTCCTGCTACCTCTGCCCCTCCAGCTTTGCTCTGCAGCAGCAAGCATGGGGCTGGTTTGGGGTCCGGTGCCCACTCGCTCCCCATCCAACCCACCCCGCGATGCACGGCCTCATTCATTAGAAGCGCGGGCCGGAGCTGATGGCTTCATTGTCATGTCTAAATGGCCTGTTTGTGACTCCAGCCCCACCACGCCAACAGCAAACAGACAGTAACATTACACCTTGGGCTTGTTGATGGCAGGAGGCAGCCGGCGCCGAGGTAAAATGCTTGGCTGAGATTGAGACAAGCAGGAAGGAATTGGGGTAAGTAGCTTTATCCGCCCCTAATGACTCTGCTGGGCCAGAGATTAATGTGGAGACTCTGACTTTACTAAGTAGACTTTCAGCTGCGAGATGTCCTGGACTTGGGGAGAGATGAGGCATTTAGATACCAGCGGGGTTAAAAAAATAGTGTCCCCGCCCTGGGACTTGCCACTGTGCTGGGGGGAGCGGGACAGTGGCCCACTCCGGACCCGGCTCTTGGATGGAAGCGGATGAGCCAGGTTTCCTGTAGCATCCTGGTCTCCTGCCCACTCCTTTTACCCCATTCCTGAGTGGGACCCCCAATTCCTCTACAGCAATCCTACAACTCTTAGCAGCCATAAATATTCCAGGTCATGGGGAGAAACCACAGGTGGCTTTGGACCTCAGACGAAGGCTGAGCACTGCAGCTCAGAAGTGATCATAAACCATTTGCCTCTTTCTGGCCAGTGAGCTAATGTTGTTATAATTATCCAGGGACATGACTGTTCATTGATAACTAGGTTAGATGAAGTCAGGAGAAAGCCACTCTTAAACCACTAAGCCCTGGAGATCATTTAAATGGGAGTATTTCTATAACAATATTGTCCGCACAGCTCCAGAAGTATCCTGTTTCTCCTGGCTGTGACCAGAGCCCCATCAAAGTCTTGAGCCATGGGAGCAGAGCCCAGCCACTCTGGAAATGCAATTCTGACAGTCTGGGAGTGCACGGGGAGCCTGAGTCATCTCCTCGCTTGTGCTCTTCCAAAAGCAAGGCAGGACTTATTTGCAAGGTGCTTCCAGATCGGGTCTTAAAGGGAAATAAAATGCAAGGTGAATGGGTAGGAAGTGAGAAAATCTGCAGGATTTTCAAAGGTAATTGGCATGTACAATTGGGGCTGACGCTTTTAAAAGAGTCCAGCTCCCAACTAAGCATCAGGAACAAGTGGCAAAATGTGGAAGAGCTCATAAGGCTGGTTGCACAGCTCCTCGGAGAGTTGACACATACTAAATACATGCATAGGAGCTCAAAGGGAAAGGAAAAAGAGTCTGATGGTTTGTGGGACCCGAGTAAGACTTAGAAGACCATTTCTAATCCCCACTTTTCCACAGAAGACCTTAGTCAAGTCATTCAGCCTGCTTGGTGCTTCACTTCTATATCAGTAACTGGGGATAATATAGGGGGCTGGGAGGATAAGTATTAAAGGGCTGTGAGGTGCCCAGATTAATACTTCCACATCTCTTTCTACACTCCTTTCCACATCTTGTCTTTTGAAGCCAAACTAAAAAGTTCAGGTTTGGTCCTACTGTTTGTATTCATTTTGTGCCTAGTAACAAAGGAGGCATTTTCAGCTCTACCAGTAGTTGGTCAGGGATTCGTTCTCATTACCCCCAAAACATACGGCTGTGAAGTAAATCTATGGTACTGATTGGGTAATGCTAAACTACCAGAAACGAAACTCCATCATTTAAAAAGGGAAATTATACTGATACAGAGGAATCCTGTGACCCAGTATTTGTAGTTGTCCCTGTTGTGGAAATACACACAGCATACTTTTGGGTCAGGTCAGCAGAAGCTTTTATTCAAAAGAAACTACAGCTATAGGGGGACTCCAAAGTGACATGGATTTCCCAAGCACTTGGAAGGGGTTCCCCAAGAGCAAAATCAGGAGGCTTATATACTTTTTAACAGTCGCTTACAACTCACGTGATCATATAGTCAAATATGCTAGAAAAAAGCACCTACCTCATTACTGCAGTTGAAGGAAAACCGTTCACTATCCCGGTTCACTCTAGTCATCTGATGTCAGCCCTGGAATTACTCTGGCATGAAGAGTCATTTGCTATAGGTAGCAAAAAGATTGTGTTCTTGGGTATCAAAGGCTTAAAAGTACTTGCTATATTGTGTTACCACTTGATGGGAAAAATGATTTCTGGTAGACTGAAATACACTATAAACTGTGTCCTAATTTTGAAAAAGGCAAGCTGAGGCCTTTGCTTTTATGCTTTACAGAACTGTCCTGCAACTCTACTCTTGCTTCAGTAGCATTGCCTAAATACATAAAGCACATAGGATTTGTCCTAGGCATGATCAGAAAATCAGCTAAAAAGTCTGCTAAAACACTCAGATGCACAAGAGTGATGCTACCTAAAAGTTCAGACGCTCTGAGATGGAATTTGTTCCTCCTGGGAGGTGTGACATGTTCTCAGTTTATTGAATTGGGAGTTGTGTGCTTGGTACCTTGCAAGGTCAGGTTGTCTTCAATTAACAACATACATTTTGAAGAAGACCTAGTTGATTTTTTCCCCCAAAAAAATTGACTGCAAGAAAATACACATGCAGTGACTGAAAAAAATACACATACTCCCAACTAAAAATATTTTTACAGTTTACTTTTTACAGTAATAGGTTAATTGAAAGGTGGTTATTCTGTGCCCCCCTCCCCTTTCTTCTTGCTCTCCCTATTCTTCCTTTTCAACATCAAAACAGACAAAAGAAAATTACAGGTGAGGGAAGAAAGAAAGCACGGCAGATGAACTTCAAAACTGAAATTAAATATTTAATGACTTTTATTGAGTGTAAACAAAATACCACTGGGTTCTAAAACCTGCAAATGATTGAACCGTTTGAAAGTTTCCTGGGAGGGGAAGGAGGTAGAACATTTTCCTGCCAGCTCTGCCTTGAAGGTCAATTCTATTTCAATACCGAATTCACTCAATAGAGACCTATCATGGTGCAGCTTGGTAAAATGTATGCAGATAATTCTCAGAGCACTGATAAAGGCTAATTTTACATCCCAGTGACAGCATGCATGTAGTGATACAGAGATTAGTGAGAACTCTAAAGCAGAAAGGCAGCACTTGGAAAGCTTTTTGTCTCGCACTAGGGATTACAAAACAGGGATGTCAAATTGCTGCCACAGGCTGGCTGCAGTGCCTATCTAACCTGTTTAAGTCTCGGGTCACAGAGCATCATTATTTTGTCAGTGCAGAAGAACATCTTTACATGATGAATCCCAGGCACCAAGTGCTTAATGCTGCAGCACTGAGACTGTAAAACCATGACACAGCCCAGCACTGTCCTCTTGGGTTCCCGATAAGTCTTATTTTCTGATGTATGCCCCTTCCACTCATTTTTTAAAGGCATAGCAGTATTTTTCTCAAAGTCAAAGCTACACCCATAAAACTGTATTTGTGGAACCTGCAACTGGAGATACAGCTGGCAGTGTAATTTAAACCACCTTCCTGAATGACAGTACTGGTACTAGCAAAGGGCTGACTCTCTTACTGGTACAAGCTGCATCTCCACAAGGAGTTATGTCAGCATAGCCCTGTCAGCTAGGGGCGTGACTGTTTTTATCACACCCTTAACTGATATAGCTGTACTAGCAAAACTTTGTAGGCTAGACCTCACCCAAATAGTTATACAGCACTGCCCTCTACTTGGATGCTTGTAACATGCAGCTTGTTCTTGCTTAAAATTCAATGCCAAGTCTCTCTCCATCTCTCAGCCTTTATTTATGCATCCAGCAAGACTTTTCTTTAAATAAAGTAATGCTTGAAGTGTTCCTGAGCTGTTTCTGACCCAGCAGAGCACAAGAGCAGCTGCATTTCAAGACCAAAGTGGGAACATCCATGCTTCTGCTGTTTCATTCCCTTTTCAGAAGTTCCCAGCCAGAGAGGAAGCATGCTGGACAAAGGATGGATTTTCAGCTGTGATCCACCGGTCCTCCCTCCCTTACCCTCCGTAAAGGCTTGTAGGGACGGTTAGACCTAATCAGGAACCTGACCCATATAGCCATGATCTTCCAAATAGGAATTTGTGCTATAATATGTGTATGCACTGTGGCCTAGATTTTGAGCTGTGCAAAAATGCAATGCCTTAATCAAAACACTCCTTTTCTTGAGGTTGCTAATTGCAATGGACCATTTGATAGTGCTGCTGTAACGTATTGTGACGAATCTTTACAACAGGGATCGGGAGAAGAATGACACAAAATAATTTCCACGTGATCTGGAAGTCCCTAAGGTCTGGTGCAAAGTCTGTGCAAGTCAGGAGTGACTCTTTAAGCAGGCTGTAGATCAGACCTCTAGCACTAATTACCAACTGTGCTAACCTAGCCCCCTGGGTTATCATAAATTTGAATTCACTAAGTTATATTTCTAATACTCACCTGTCAGGATACTTACTGCTGTTAGTTAAAATCTATGACCACTAAAGAGAGAAAAAAAAATAGCAGGCATTTTCTGTATGGCAAAGTCTGACTTACTGAGCCTTGCATTTATGGATGTACATGGACATTATCCATAGCAGATACATATTAGATACTAGCATTCCTGGGGAAATGAATCTTCATTACAAAAAATATACACAGGACATTTTTCATCAAATTATCAAGCTTAGTTGTTAGGTTTCCCCATGTTATGTAATTGTCAATGTAGCCACCTTATTTGTAATTGGCATGCTGATTCCAGTTGCCTTTATTTATTTTATTTGATTTTTGGATATTTGCTGAACCCTACAAGGAAGGGAATATGAAAAACAAACAAGTTATATGTAAATGTCTTATTTCTTCTCTGTACTTCCATGAACCAGATTCATCTCTTGAATACATTTGGGGGAAGTCATTTGATGCAGTGTTATGAAAAATAATCACAATAAAGCTGTTACTATGAAAAAGTGAAAATCTAGTTTAATGGTGAGAAAAGAAACAGGATTCAGTTAAAAAAATATGAATGGCCCTCTGGTTAAGGCATTGGATTGTGATTCTGGGGAGGTCTGGGTTCTTACTAAGTTTCTCCAGGACATCAGAGCTGAGTATGTCACCTGAATCTTTTCCTCCTTACTGTATCTGTAAAGCATGGAGAACGCTTTCTCTGACCTGTTCCTGTCCTGCTTATTTAGTGCAAACGAGGGAAGGCCTGTGTTCTGTTGTGGGAATTAACAGGGCCTAGCACAATGCGGTTCTCAACTTTACCGAGGCTTCTTGGTGCTGTTGTACTATGAACAAATGTTTGTTATA